ATGATGCTCACCTTCCCAACAAGATTGCTGAAGACCAAGCAGGTGTATAAGCAAATGTGGTGAAGAAAGTTGATGGGTTTGGCTATCAAAAGATAGCATCTGGGGTCTTAAAGGCTGGAAGATAAACAAATGGCCATCTACCTCAGAAGCAATAAAGCCCACATGGAAGAAGCACACCAGCCTCTGTGATCACAAGGTGTCAACAGGATCAGATATCAAGCATCAAAGAACAGGAGCAAAAAATCATATCATTGTAAATGAGGAAGAGTGCAGAGTGGAGACCTAAAGCTCATCTGCAGGCAATTTGGTATCCCCTTACAGAAGGGTCTCAGGAAGGAGACATGCCAGTGAGGGTGCAGTATACGAGGAAACATGCAACTTTCTCTAGTTCTTTAATGCTTCCTCACCCCCCATTATCATGATTCCAATTCTACCTTACAAATCCAGCTAGACCAGAGCATGTACACTGCTACAGATCAGAGGTGGAAACACAGGGAATACAGGACAGATAAACCCCTCAGGACCAATAATGAGAGTAGTGATGCAAGGAGGGTAAAGGGAAGGTAGGGGGAGAAATGGGAAACTGATCACAATGATCTACATATAACCCCCTCCCTGGGGGATGGACAACAGAAAACTGAGGTAAGGGAGACATTGGACAATGTATGACATGAAAAAATAATAATTTATAAATTATCAAAGACGATGGAGGGAGGATGGGGGAGGGAGGGGACAAAAATAAGAAGCTGGTGCCAAGGGCTCAAATAGAAAAAAAAATGTTTTTGAGAGTGATGATGGCAACAAATTTACAAATATGCTAAACACAGTGGATGGCTGTATGGATTGTGATAAGACTTATACAAGCCCACAATAAAATGATTTATAAAAAGTAATAATAAAACAATTGACAAGTTAGTCAGCAAAAAGAACTCCCATTACTAAGCCTATACAGCAAGGTTAGAGATGAATCGCAGTCCACTAATAAATAACCATACCTTTCTATGTGCTCCTGCAAGACGTTTGCCTCCAGACTGGTATTTAAAAAACATCGGTTACCTATGATGCAATTGTGACACTTTCATTGGGTAGAAAACCTCTTTCTCCCAATCACTTTTCTCAGAGCCCCTTTCAGGTCCTTGTTCCTGAGGCTGTAGATGAAAGGGTTCAGCATGGGAGTCACCACTGTGTACATCACAGCAGCTGCAATGTCTTTCTCAGCTGAGTGGGAGGATGAAGGGTTGAAATACACAGCAAAGATGGTGCCATAGAAGAGGGAAACCACAGCCAGGTGGGAGCCACAGGTGGAGAAGGCTTTCCACTTTCCCTTTGCAGATGGGACTCTCAGAACAGCAGAAGTGATGCAAATGTAGGAAACCAGGATGCAAACAAATGGGGTGATCATTATCAGAACTCCCTCAGTAAGAATCATCACTTCATTGAGGTGTGTGTCAGAGCAGGAGAGTTTCAGAAGAGCAGCCACATCACAGAAGAAGTGGGGGATCTGGTTGTCTGCACAGAATGAGAGCCGAGCCATCAGCAGGGTATGCAATAGGATATTCAGGTTGGCTACAACCCATGATCCAGCAACCAGCAGGGAACAGAGCTGAGGGGTCATCTTTGTTGTGTAGTGTAAGGGGTGACACACAGCAACAAAGCGATCATAGGCCATCACAGCCAGGAGGAAATTGTCCATGTC